TTTTATTTATTTTTTAATATACATTTATACTCTCGTAATTTATAACATTTCCTTATAAAAATATTTAAAAAAATAAGGTTTTATAAATAATTTTAAGTCAAACTTACAACGTAAATCTAAACATATGATATAATTTAAAGAAGAGCATAAAAAAAGAGAAAAAATAATCAAAATTTTAAACTAAAATAGTGAAGATAACACCTTTAAAACATCTTCTGTTTGTTGAGTATCATAAAAATGCATATTTTGATTTAATTTTTGTTTAATACATTTTAGAAGAAAATCGATTTGTTCATCCTTTTGGTCAGTAATTATTTCTTTACAACCGATATCTAAATACCTTAATTCTTTAACTTGTTCAATATTTGGTGATTTATCTTTATAAGGTACTTGAGTAACAGCACTAAGATCAATAGAAGATACTTTTGTAGAGACACTTTGTTTAGGTTGAAAGTTATTAGATTCTTTCCTAAGTGATAAAGGTAATTTAGGTTTTTTAGTTTGTTCAATTGTATTTGGTTCAGTTGTTTCTTTTATTGCATTTGGTTCAATGACTTGTTCAACTAAATGGGTTTTAGTATGTTTTGATTCGGTTTCATTAATAGGTGGTCTAAAGTCAGACCATTGATATTTCTTTTGAATATCAGAAAATGTAAAATTAATTGATAGTTTAGGAGAGTTTTCATATGTTTGATTTATTAAATCAAGTAATTTTTGTGTTCTTACAATAAACTGTACTTTCTTTAAAAAGTGTTGAAATTTTTCATATATTATTTTATATTCATTAGGTTTTAATTCATTAAGAAATTCAGATATAAGTTTTATGTGACGAGTACAATAAATTACTTGATAGTTAAGAAATTTATTTAATATTGGAGTAAGGTCTGGTCTTATTTCATTTACTACTGTTCTTAATTCAGTAAATGAAGGAGACTCTTTCATTCTAAATAAATCGATTGATGAAACTACTTCTTCTAATACACATCGAGCTTTTTCGTCTAATGGATAAAACAAACAATACATTCTTTCAAAAAATTTTGATGTTGTATTTAATACTATTTCTATATATTCTTTATACTTTTTTGTTATATTTTTTTGATTGTCATTATCAACCCATTCAGCGAATTTAATTACTCGATCTTTGAAAATAACAACTTTCATTTTTGCATCATTTGACATAATTAACTAAAAATTTTAAGTTCTATTAATTAATAAAAAGAAGAAGATTTTTTTTTAAATTGATCTTATTTTATTTCTATTAAATCGTATTGTTACTGGTAAAAACTTTGGTTCTTTTAAATAATCACTATAATATAATAACAAAGTGATTATTTTGAGTATTAAATAATTAGAATGTATTTCATTTTTATTAAAAAATCATTATAAATATAAAAATCTTTTTAAAATTATAATTCCAAAAAATGATAAATCTTTCCTTGTTTCTAAGAATTTTTGTTATTGTTTTATAAATCTATATATTGTCTTTTATTTTAAATATAATGGGATATAACTCTTACTGTTATATCCAAAATACTAAGTGATACATATGATTAGTATTATTACACTACCACTGATATCACTTATTCTCTTAATTCTTTACTTTGCGTTAATTTATTTGAAGGAATTTGTTTATCAAATAGATTTATACACATTCTATTTATTCTCAATTGTTTTTTTAAATATTCTAATATTTCATAAACCAATTTATATTCTTAAGTTTTAACTAATCTACTTAGTTTACTTTTGATAATCTATAAATCAATAATTAAGAGTTCTTTTTTTTTGAATAATTTCTTAATTAATATAAAAGGTAATTGCTACAACAACTCTAACAATTATTATAGCACTTGAAATTCCATGTAAAACTGTTTTTAACGTTGGTTAGATAAATATAAATTCCATTTTTTTTAAATTTATTAAATTGAATTGATATAATACTATAATTTTGATTGTTTCTTTCATAAAAAAATGTGTCTTTTAAATTCTATTTATTTTCTTCGACTCTAACAAGTTTTTTCATAATAAAAAAGCTATTTCTACATTAACTATTTTGAAATAACTTTATCTTCTCAATTTTGGAAAAGTTAAATTTTAAAAAAATAACAAAGAAACCAAATAAATATGAATTAGAAAGGAATAAGAGATCTTCTTTACAAAATGAGATATAAAACAAAATATTTTAATAAAAATAAAAAAAATTGAAAAATTAAATATTTGAATAACTAGCTGCATTTCTCTTCTTACGATATGTTAATAAACCAAAAGCAATTCCTCCAATTAAAGCAATTCCAATAGCGATATATCCAATGATTACCCATGCGGTTTTTCCAAATATGAGTTGAGGGTCTTCACTGATATGAGCCCCAATTGTTCGTAAAGCTTCTGACATTGTTTTATTTTTTTTCAAGATTATCTTTTCAACTCATTTTTCTTCTTCTGTGGAATTTTCCTTTTTAACATAATAATTTTATGTTATATATAACTAAATTTAAAAAGTCAAATTCTTTTCTTTTTTATTTTTATTTTTATCATCTTCTAAGTTCACTTTCATTATGGCTGTTTTGGTGAGAGTGTTAAAATCGGAAAATCCCCAAACTATTGCAGAAAAACAAATCAAGTTATTTAATCTTATAACACAAAGAAGTTCTGTTATATTTTCTTTTACTTTGACTGAAATAGTTTACTTAGTGGAGTTACAAATTGAAGAAGAAACACTTATAACATATGTCACTGAAAATACACTAAATAAACTAAAAGGGTGGTATGAAAAGAAAAAAGAAATTGAGACTCATCCTATTACACAAAACACTGAGGTTGGGTATTCAACTCAACGTATTCTAGGAGTTGCACGTTCGTTAGTTGGACCAATTGGATATTTAGTTTTAAGCAATAAAGGTTCTCAAACAAAGGTTGAATTTAAACAAGAAAATGAAATTAATGGTTATTTTATTAAACAGTACATTGACCGTCTTCGTTTAACACAAACAAGACATCACCATCAATGGGATATAGATAATGAAATGATAAAATCTTTTTCTGATGAAGAAAGAAAAGTGATTAAAATCATTATAAATTCAATCACAAATAAAAAATCCTATATTCAGTGGAGTAGAGAGAATTTTACTCAATTTATTCCTTCGTTCATTCATTTGTTAAGGGGTTGTGGATACTTAGGTAGTCTTGCTATAATATGTGCTGATGAACTTGTTTCATTTTATCAAAGTCGAATTGACTCAACAAATACATTATTAAAAGGATTTGCTCCTTCTTCATTTTGGTCATCTCTAACATCAAAAATCTCTTTGTCAGATGAAACTCAAATTATTTATGAATCAATATTTAATAGTTTAAATATTCCTTATGTAGATCTTGCTGTTTTTGGTAATTCATCTGATCTTCAATTTGAATTATTAAACCAATTTGATTTTGTATTTGTTGATTCATTACCATTTAGTGAAATTACTCTTGAAACTCCAGTTATTATGTTAAATTCTCCTGAACCTATTCCTGAAGGTTGTTCTCTTGAAGTAATCTCGATAACGAAAAATATTCACCACAAATTACTTTTACCATTAAGTGAATCACAATATGAAATGATTAGATGGATTGCTTCGACAATAAATTTTTCAGGAAAAGAAATTGTACTTAAACAATTAAAAACTTTAATTTATTATCCACAATTCTCTCAAATTATACCAAACTCTCTTCTTTCTCCTATAGATGTATTTTTACCTATTTTTTGTTCTTTATGTAAAACAAAAAGAGTTTGTATCTTATACCCTTCTTTCTCAGATATTTATTATGTCTTCAGTCAATTTGATATTCCCATTGTATCCAATAAAATTCATGACATTCACAATGTTAATCAATTCAATTCAAATCTTATTCAATACATCATCATATCATTTGATACTCCGCTTACTTTTTCATTAAACTCTGTTGATATTGTAATATCTTTTGACCTTTCTGATACAGCAACCGAGCAGTTCATTAACAATAAATGTACCTCATCAACTCCTTTATATTATATTCATCTAACATTAGATCGTTCCCAATTTTTGTATTCAACAATTATGCCTAATTACTCTTCTGAATCTTACTTGAATTTTCTACAGGAGTCATCTGCTTTACCTCAACACATTTATTTGAATCAAGACTTCGGTTCTTTTGTTAATTCCTTTCAAATGAATTGCTGCACTTTCTCTTCTAATACAGGAATATTTCAAACATTATTCCCTAAACTGGAAGACCTCAATAAGATCATTCTAATCAATCAATTCAAAGAAGAAATTAATATAAGAACATCAAATAATGTTGACCAAATCAGACTTGAAATTTCTCAACTCAAAGAGAATATCAGAGCTCATAGCACATTCTCTAAAAATATGGAAAATTATTTTTCTACTACCATACAAGAAAATACAACCACAAAGAAACCTTCGACACCAAAAGAAGTAAACACCAGTGATGGTAAGAAACCATTAGTAGCAAAAGGAGAAGATACTACCACTAAGAATCTTTCAGTTATAAAAGAAGATGCTATTGTTAAAAAAACTTCAATACCAGAAGAAGACACTACCATAAAGAATTTTTCAATTCCAAGAGAAGAAAATAGTGTTAAGAAACCTTCTCTGCCAAAAGAGCTAAAAACAAATCAAGCTGGTGATTTAAAACAAACTACTAAAATAAATAAAGAAGATTCTCTAACACACCTTTCTCTTGAGGCTTCAGAAATACATCCTCAAGACATTGAGACAGCTCAAGTAGAAAGCCTTAAACAAGTACCTAAAAAAATAACAGAAGAAATGATAACAAAACAAGTCCAATCCATATTTAAAAGTTTCATGCAAGAAGGCCAAAAAATTAAACCAACTGAATTCCATCTAACATACTCTGGATATGCAAAACAACTCATAGACTCTATTCAAACTGTTGGTACAAACAGAAATCGTATTATTGAAAAATTCCCAGAATTAAAAGTATTTACTGAGAGTCAGATTGATCAGGCAATATCATCTTACTTAAATTGTATTAATACGTACCGAAAAGAGCTTGCTGAAACAATTCAATTTATAAATGCTATTCATCTTTTCTTAGAGAAATTAAATCGTGGAGTATTGACAGAATTCTCCAGAACAGATGACCCAGGATGGACATACTCTTTAGATTTATTGCTCATCAGGTCAATTGCAACAAAGGGATATAAAAAAATGTTTGAGTGTTTATCAGAAATACCAATTTACGTTGGTCTAGAAAAAGCAGGATTTTGTTTGTTTATTTATCTTTAAAATAAAGGTCAACAACTAATATTATAGGTTCTCAAGAAAGCAAAATAGAAGCAGTCAGACGAAGAGTACAACATTTAAGAGCATATATGAAATGACTTGATTGTGTTTTACCTTTTTTATTTTGTACATTATCTTACTGAAAAATAAAAAAAATAAAAACCCTAAAAAATAAAAAAAAAGAATACTTCATTAATATGACTGAAACAGTTGAGAAACAAATAGTTACTCCTTATAATGTAAGTGGGTTAGTTGATTACAATAAACTTGTTAAAGACTTTAATGCAGAGTTATTAACTCAAGAACAAATTGCAAGGATAGGAGCTATTACGCACAAAGAACCTCATATGTGGTTAAGAAGAGGATTATTCTTTTGTCATAGAGATATTAATCCTATTTTAGATGATGTTGAAAAAGGAAATAAAATATATTTATATACTGGAAGAGGACCTTCAAGTGATGCTTTACATTTAGGACATTTAATACCATTTATTTTTACAAAATATCTTCAAGATGCATTTGATTGTCAATTAGTAGTTCAATTAACTGATGATGAAAAATATTTATGGAAACCAGTAACTATTGCAGAAACAGAGAAATATGCAATTGAAAATATTAAAGATATTATTGCAGCTGGTTTAAATCCAAAGAAAACATTTATTTTTACTGATTACACATATATGGAACGTATGTATCCAGTTGTAACAAAAATTCAATCACGAGTAACATTTAATCAAGTTAAGGGAATTTTTGGATTTCAACCTCATGACAATTTAGGTAAAATTTCATTCCCTGCTATTCAAGCTGCACCTGCTTTCCCTGAGTCATTCCCTCATTTATTTGGTAAACAAAAAATAAGATGTTTAATTCCTTGTGCTATA